CTGATTCCTCATGTTAACCACAGACCCTAAAGTTAACCTTTAATCCTGATTCCTCATGTTAACCACAGACCCTAAAGTTAACCACTAACCCCTAACCTCATGTTAACCACAGACCCTAAAGTTAACGTCAACTACCCATATGGAGCCTAACCCTGACCACAGACCCTAAAATTAACCTTTAATCATGATCCCTCATGTTAACCACAGACCCTAAAGTTAACCACTAACCCCTAACCTCATGTTAACCACAGACCCTAAAGTTAACGTCAACTACCCATATGGAGCCTAACCCTGACCACAGACCCTAAAATTAACCTTTAATCATGATCCCTCATGTTAACCACAGACCCTAAAGTTAACCACTAACCCTGATCGCTCATGTTAACCACAAACCCTAAAGTTAACTTCCGCTACCCTTATAGAGCCTAACCCTGAACACAGACCCTAAAGTTTACCTTTAATCGTGATACCTCATGTTAACCACAGACCCTAAAGTTAATCACTAACACTGATCGCTCATGTTAACCACAGACCCTAAAGTTAACGTCAACTACCCATATGGAGCCTAACCCTGACCACAGACCCTAAAATTAACCTTTAATCATGATCCCTCATGTTAACCACAGACCCTAAAGTTAACCACTAACCCTGATCGCTCATGTTAACCACAAACCCTAAAGTTAACTTCCGCTACCCTTATAGAGCCTAACCCTGAACACAGACCCTAAAGTTTACCTTTAATCCTGATTCCTCATGTTAACCTCATATTTCATGCAAACCCAGAAAAGCCACGGGTGGCAAGGACGCCCATGTTGTTGCCCATGTTGCCCATGTTGAATTTGTAACATATAGATGCTTGGGCGCGGTCAATATATTACAAATTCAACATGAGAATGTGTCCTTCAGGTACGTGGCGAGGAACCGCCGGCTCCTGGAGGATTTCTGTGTCCGGATGAAGGAGCTCTTCTGCCTGGGCCTGATCGCCTTGCTGGGACACTGCGCCCTGACCCTGCAGAGCCAGGAGGAAGAGCAGGACAAGATCCAAGAGTGGAGCAGCAAAATACAAGAAGTGGAGTCCAGGATGAAGACCACCATCGACTCCTGCGTCGCTGCGTTCCCAGAACAAGCCAAGCTAGACGTGCAGCACCTCCTGCAGGAGAAAGAGGAGGAGAGTCTGCAGGACACGAGCCAGCAGGTCCTCCAGCTCCTGGTGAAGAAATACGACTGGGTGTGCTGGTCGGTGCGCCTCATCAACCACTCGGGCAGCGCCTACAGGAACCTCCGAGCAGGGAAGCACTTCCATCACGTGGCCGGTCAGAACTGGTTCGAGGTGCTGCAGGTGAACAACATCAACCTGGTGGTGTCGTACAGCACCAAGCCCCAGCCGGTGCCTCGGGACCGCCTCCTGCAGCTGATGGAGGCGCAGGGGAGGCGGGGCAACGCTCCGGAGGTGGTGGAGGTGTTGGAGAAGCAGCTGTGCGGCTTCGTCGTGCACGCCGTCAGTCGTCACAAAGAGTCGGCGGCAGCCTGGAGTTTTCCGGAGGAGTGCCACTACTGGGAACGCCACAAGAACGTGGCGGTGTGTGTGCACTCTGAGTAAAGCTGCAGGGGGCGGGGCTTAAACAAGAAGGTCTCAGCTGCAGCTTAACTTAAGCTGAATCCCATTTCATCCACTTCCTGCAGTTTGTGTGTTTATATCAAATAAAGATGTTCCAGATTGTGATAATATATATAAGATTATAGCTATAATTCAGCTTCAACAACAGCATCTGTTTAATTTAAAGCAGGGGGGTCAAGTTTACTTTCACTGAGGGCCACAGGAGCGTTATGTTGGCCCTCAAAGGGCCAGTTAATAACTCCAATGTTTCACGTTTAACTTTGACTGAAAACGTCACGCTGCTACATCTGAGCACCGCTAACAAACCCTAACTGAGCTCTACCTGGTATTTCCTGTATAGAAACAGTGTTTTAACACATCCTCTTATAAACACTGAGCAGTGTATGTGTACAACTGAATAAAAAATAAAAATATACATAAATACAATTAAAAATAAAAGTAAGAGTTTTACTCACCGTTGAGTTGTTGTCAAGGTTATGAAAGTTTTGAATTTTTCATTATAGTTTAGTTTTGTTGTAACTTTTTTTCTTTTAATTCGGTTAGTTTTAGATGTTAGAGTGGAATTTCTAGTTTTTGTTAGTTATTATTGCCTTTTTAATGTTTTAGTTTAGTTTTCATTAGTTATTAGTTTTTTGTGCTGTTCCTGTGAGTTAACTAACCAGCAGCTACAGTACCTGGTCACCGGTGAAAGCAGTCTATTATAACGACACCCTAAGGACTTGGGCAATTGTTTTTCACAGAGCTACTGACAGAAGCAGTAATGCTCACAGGTAGCCATCTTGTGAAAGATTGATTTGTTTGTTTTTTTCCTTTGGGAAGTATTCCACCTATTTTATCAGCTGTTTCCACAACAAGACACTTGCTTTAATTTTCCTCACAGTCATATTTAAAGAAATCTCAAATCAGACTTTGTCCCAACTTTTGTTGCCATAACCTGGCCACAGCTTGGTTTAAAAAAAGTTTAAGTTCATTTTTGTAAAAATATAACAGCTCCAGTTAGTCTTTCTTTTTATCATTTTATTAGTTTTTATTTATTTCAGTTACCTGGAACGTTTTTTTAATTTAAGTTTTCATTATTTCGTTAGTTTTAGTTAACTATAATAACCCTGGCTGTTATAAGTCTTGAACTCTTCCACTTTCCAACAGGGAATTCCCACATAACCAACATGCATTATGGGAGATGTAGTTTGTAGTTGATGCTGGCTTTAAAGCAGCTTATTTTGAAACATAAATTCTGTTGAACAGCGCAGGGAGCTGAACAACTATAATTATCTTTCACCTTTAAATTTGTTTATTTATTGAATCATAAATTTAGCAGCCGGACACACTTTACCTGCAGGCTGCATTTGACCCGTGGGCCTTAAAGGAATTACACACAACTTTGTGGTGAACATTTTAACCACTCCACCTTGTGATGTTAATATAAGGACCAAGGTGAAATGGGATTCAGCCTTATACTGCAGGGAGTAAAAAAAAAATCAGGATTTAACTTGAACAAAGCCTAAAAATGGGGATCTGATGGATTAATTATTAGTTTTTAAGGCTTTCAGTGTGGAAGCACTGAATGTGAGAAAACTCAGGTCTGTTTAAAGCTTCACAGCAGCAACATTCAGAGTTTAAACAAGTTGGATTTTAAATGACTGAAGTGACTTTTTAACATCTTTATGGTTTTCACACCATCACACTGTAAGAGTTAGGATTAATGAAGATTTGTCTACAAAGTGTTTAACTGAGTCTGATGTCAGATTAATGATGGATCTGTCTGAACTAAGTGAGGCTGTAACAAATACTACTACTACTACTACTACTACTACTACTACTACTACTACTACTACTACTACTACTACTACTACTACTA